TTACTGGGATTTTCAGGCACAACCATTTCTAGGGTTTACAAAGAATGGAGTGAAAAGGGAAAAAACATCCAGTATGCGGCAGTCCTGTGGGCCTTGTTGATGCTGGAGGTCAGAGGAGAATGGTCCGACTAATTCAAGCTGATGGAAGAGCAACTTTGACTGAAATAACCACTCGTGACAACCGAGGTATGCAGCAAAGCATTTGTGAAGACACAACATGCACAACCTTGAGGCGGATTGGGTACAACAGCAGAAGACCCCACTCATCTCCACTACAAATAGGACAATTGAGGCTACAATTTGCAAGAGCTCACCAAAATTGGAAAGTTGAAGACTGGAAAAATGTTGCCTGGTGTGATGAGTCTCGATTTCTGTTGAGACAGATGGTAGAGTCAGAAATTGGAGAAAACAGAATGAGAACATGGATCCATCATGCCTTGTTACCACTGTGCAGGCTGGTTGTGGTGGTGTAATGGTGTGGGGGATGTTGTCTTGGTACACTTTAGGCCCCTTAGTGCCAATTGGGCATCGTTTAAACGGCACGGCCTACCTGAGCATTGTTTCTGACCATGTCCATTATTCTTTAAAAAAAGAATTGGGTAGAAATAGGACAAAAGCACTTCAGCCGTGGTCAAACGGTTCAGATTTTTAGAAGTTTGTCTTGCATCAGACTACACATCTGCCTCTTCCTTTGGGTTCTCTGAAAAAGAAAGCATGATGTTACTCAAGAATGAGAAAATTCAGTTGCCGTGCTGTACATTGTCACATTGATTATTATTATTTATTATTATTAAAATATTCTAACTATGATTATAGTATTGTTAAATTCTGTTTATTTATTTTTCTAAAATTTATAAATGCTTCAATATCAAAAGAAAGCATTGGCAGGGGTGTCCGATTTCTCCAGCCCTAATTAAACACACCTGAGTCAGATAATCAAGATCATTAGGATCAATGAAAACTTACAGGCAGGTGTGTTGGAGCTAAATCTTCATGAAGAACAAACACCTCCAAGCTATAGCCAAACTACATCTCATTTCATTTTCTGTCAAGCTACTTAGTATTCAAGTAACAAGTTTATCTTGCAGAATAAAAGAGCTTAGATTTTTTTCAAACGAACATTCATTTCTTTAAAGGGACAGTTCAGCCCTTAGTGAAAATTCAGTCATAATATTTTCTCACCCTCAAGTTGTTCCAACCCTGTATGAGTTTCTTACTTCTGTTGAACACAAAATGAGATATTTTAAAGAATGTCGGTAACCAGAAAGTTGTCAGCGGCCATTGATTTCCATAGTAGGAAACGAATACCATGGAAGTCAATGACTACCATCATAGGTGGGGCCCCAATGGGTCTGGCTTGAATTTCCCACTTAGGACCCACATAAGACTCTTACAGAGCCCATTTAAAGCCCATCTGGGTAACCATAGTTAGATCCCGGGTGCAAGCCCACTTAAGGCCCATTTGGCCAGGTGGGGCCCAAATGGGTCTGACATGAATTGCCCAATTAAGACCCACGCAGTACCCGTACTGGTCCCAATTTTAGTACATCTGGGCTTCCACAGCTTGCCCCAATGTGGATCCCGGGTGCAAGCCCATAATGGGGCCCACATTTGCCGCCCATCAAGCCCTCATATGGGCCCCACATGTCATTGCTGGCTGGGATCCTTCACTCTATCTTCTTTTGTGTGCACTGCAGCAGAAGAAAGACATTGATACAGGTTTGGGACAACTTGAGGGTTAATAAATGATGACATATCACTTTAAAGCGGAAGATCCAGGTGGATTGGGTAAATATTTACTTGCATTTCAGTTTCCACAAATCCCTTGACTCGATTGGGATGTTCTCTTGTGTTCTGGGCTAACACAGTCTCATCCCAAATCGTCATATAACTGACGTTTTGGGACGTATTTTGACCATACGTCAATATCCGCCTTTTTAGGGCCCCCTTAAACGTCGGTAGATGGCGATCCCGGGCCGTCATACAACTGACGCTTTACCTTTAACGTCAGTTAGGTGACGGGTTAGGTTTAGGGTTAAGTTTAGGTATGGGGTAGAGTTAGGATCCCATAACCTCATCTACCGACGTTTAAGGGGGCCCTAAAAAGGCGAATATTGACGTATGGTCAAAAGACGTCCCAAAACGTCAGTTATATGACGATTTGGGATGAGACCGGGTTGTCTGGGCAGCAAGTGCTGTAACTGTAACATTGGGCATATTTTGTAGTATATAACACCTATTTATACAGACATCATGCTCCGAAAATTCTTCACAAAGAACACAAAGAATGGCCTTCTCAGCTGCCATAGTTGCAACTCTTGCGTCATCAGAACAATGTGTTCAACCAGCGCAGTCTCACCCCAAAAAGTCATATAACTGACGTTTTGGGACGTCTTTTGACCATACGTCAATATTCGCCTTTTTAGGGCCCCCTTAAACGTCGGTAGATGAGGTTATGGGATCCTAACTCTACCCCAGACCTAAACCTAACCCTAAACCTAACCCGTCACCTAACTGACGTTAAAGGTAAAGCGTCAGTTGTATGACGGCCCGGGATCGCCATCTAGCGATGTTTAAGGGGGCCCTAAAAAGGCGAATATCGACGTATGGTCAAAAGACGTCCCAAAACGTCAGTTATATAACTTTTTGGGATGGGAATGTGTTGGTTCAACGGATCACCTTTTCTATTTAAAAAACGCTGTGCAACGTTTTGTCGGGGCTGACCGATTTTAAAATAAATTATGAAGGCCCACCCCTACACCAAGCCCCCAGTGGATTAGAGCAAATTGGGCAAAGCGATTGAAAATGCCCATTAAACGCCCCACTGACTGAGAAACACCCACTACTGTTTTACAGAAATACATTACACAAATCACTGTATCCATTGTGTGCTGTTGGCTTTCATCAACATTTCAATGCTGATCTAACCCACTTTAAACATTGAAATGTCAATCCTAACCAAAATGATGGTTTGACATGTTCAAGTTCTGAAATTCCCTTCTCCAGGCTTAAGGTGGTTGTTTCTCGATGCTGGGACATTCTTTAACAGAACACAGGGGACATTATGATGCTATCACAGCCGAAATGCAAGTCTGCAAGTGAATCACAGCTGAGAAGTCTCATTGGTTCCTTGTCTGAGAAACAGCTGTTCCGAAAGCAGCTGGGTTGGGGGTGTGTGGTAGTGTGGAGAAACACTAAAAAAGCCAATACAAACACAATCCTAAAAATGTGTCTCATTATTCATCAGTGTTGAGGGCCTTGTGTAAACACTGAAGTGGTGGTCAGAAGAGTCAGATGGTCAGGTGAGATATTACAATGCACTGCAAATCCCTGCTTCAAAGGAATATAGTCATTCAGTAGAAGATTGATATGAAATCATCCGGGGGAATAAACAGGTTGCTGACATATAACTCCATAGACTGTGCTGGATTTCATATCTTGAGTTACACAACCACAAACACTGTAGCAAATCTCCCACATATTAAAGATTTGTGTTCAATATATTGGGGATTTGTGTAGTGGTACTTTTCAGTTTTGACTCAAATCTTATGCTTTTTTTTTTGTTGCAAATGTGTGCAGTGTAAACTTGCAATACACAATTTATATTTAAATTTATTTAATTATAATTATTTATAATTATTATTTGTGGATACACTAGATAAGCAACGCAAGCTATTTAAACTTCAAAATAAAAGACTTAACTTTTTTTTTACATTTAATTACATTTTTTTTTTGTCAGCCAAACCGTTGGCTGATATTTCCATATTTAGCTTTCAAATTGCTTTGTTATGTGTATCAAATATTATTTTTAAAGTTTAGCTGAAATTCCTTTATTTTTAAAGCATGTGCAAGAAATAGAGTTATACCACATATACTGATGAAATGGAGTAAAGTTGGTTTCATTCATTTATATCATAAAATGGCCATAATACAATTGGCTATATAGGCTTTTTAATATAATATAATATAATATAATATAATATAATATAATATAATATAATATAATATAATATAATATAATATAATATATTGTAATACAATATAATATCTTGTAATATGATATAATAAATATAATATAATATAATATAATATAATATAATATAATATAATATAATATAATATAACTAGGGCTCTGCAAAGATTAATTGTCATTAATCATATCCAAAATAAAAGTTTTTGTTTACAGAATATATGTGTGTGTGTGCTGTGTATAATTATTTTGTATAAATACATATGCATGCATGTATATGTTTAAAAATTATTTGCATGTAAATACTGTATATATATATATAATACATAATATATATTATATATAAATATAAACATTTTATATATGAATAACACATTTTCTTAAATATATAGATGATATAACATAACATAACATAACATAACATACACATAGCATGATATAATAAAATTATAATATATTGTAAGTATAATATAATATATTGTAGGTATATTGTAAGTATAATATAATATATTGCAAATATAATATAATATAATAAGAGGCTAAAATCCATCCAGAATTTCATTAAAATACTGTATATATTAATATATAATGGACAAACAAAATCCATGCAGCCTAATTTTTACATTACAAAATGCTTTTTTAAAAGGTACTTCAACTATTTTCCCAAAATCTATTTTGTTGAATTCTATTATAAATATTATACTTACAGTTGACATTTTATAAACAATCAAAAATGCATACAATTAAAAACAAATGTGGAAAAACCTAAGCACATGAAATGTAAACGTTCTCACTTTTTATTGAAAGTTTTTCTTAAAATGTTGACCTCTAATTAAAAAGAAAAGTTAGTATCCATGCTATTGGCGAAGTAGCCCGTGTGTTCTGTCGCGTGTTCCACAGGGAGCCCCTGAGAGTGTCCTGTCCGTCCTGATGTGTGCTTCTCTAATGAGTGGGTGGGAGGGTCAGGCAGTGCGACAAATAAGGACACGGTTCCTGCAAGAGCTTTCATTCTCACTTTTATTTGCAAGTGTGCTTTGGACCCATAGCTGCCTAAAATGCGCTAATTAGCCCAACAGGATTTTTTGCTTGTGCTGTGTGTTTACGCTGGAATAATAAACTTTCTCAGCAAATGTAAGTAGCCGGTGTTCATCTGTCTCGGTTGCTGTGACTTTGTGGGTGTTTTTGCACAGTATGCGTGCGGTGTCATTTTTTTAAATGATCATGTTTGATGTCACCTGAGTTTAACACGCCACTGTGAGTCCTGTGCTGTCGGCGTTCATGTAGCTACTTCAAGAAGAGAGAGAGAGTGAGGGAGAGAGAGAAAGAGAGAGAGAGAGAGAGAGAGATATCGTCATATCATCATTCGGTTACCCAGAGAAATTGCAGTAAACAGTAGCTTTTGACGTGACACATTTAGGCATCAGCTGTATGTGTTTATTGTTGTTTTGTTAGTCAATTTGGATTAAGTTTTAAGAAGCTATTTTGTTATGTATTCTGTATATTTATTATTAAACAAGTGCACGTGGCGTTTTGATATTGAGATACTAACACTCTAGTTTTACTTCACGTTGAATAAATGTTGTGATAAAATGAGACCGTTTCTCTAATTTAGACGACTGTTTTAGTGTGTACCAGTTAGTTGACAACATGCAGATTAGCTTTTTTTTTTAACAATCAATATTTTAGGTTTAAATGTGTATGAAGAATGCATAAAGTGTTTAATTTCTTTTTAAAAGTACAATATTCCACATAGAACCGTTGAATAAGAACCGCTTGTATGAGAGTCAGAGTATAGCAAACGGTAATAGCTTCCATTTATCTTTTACAAAAAGTTTTTTTTTTTAATTGATATAAGTTTTTGCTGAATTTTAGCTTGATTTTACTCACTAGTAAAGCATTTCAACGTGGTTAAATAAGTGTAAAAATTAATTTTTGTTATTTTTATTTTAGGGGTTAATTTTTTTTCCATTCACTATTGTGTAAACAACATTAGTAGTTCTGCATTCTATTCACAAAATATTCCTAGCTTTAATTAGATATCACAAATGTTCACCATATTCCTTTCTTGAAAGTTCAAACTTTGAACTTGAGTTTGAAGCTCACAACAAATCGATTTATTCCATGTTTATGTACAGAGATCCTGCAAAACTGCATGTGTTTTAAAACTCCACAGCACAAGTGTTTAATTATTTAACGCAATTTGTTTGCCCCGTTACTTAAGAGCTCAATAACAACAGTCAGCGGTGGGTAACGGATCGTATTAGTTTACAGGAATCTGGCACTGGGTCCCCAGAAGCACCTCACGCTGGAAACTTACTCTGGCCTGGAGTTTATTCTGAGGAGTGAAATGTCACACTTGGCATTTTGCTTTAAGACGTTTCACCACATAATTGAAGTGCTAGATGAATTTTACCCAGCGCGATCTGTTCCTGTTTCCTTATTCTATCAGATAGAGTAATATCCATTTGATATTGATTATCCTTGATTATAGTAGGCTAAAGTTGTTGTTTATCAGTAAAACCCAATGAAAAGTACCTGAATTGTGAAGGCATATCAAAAAGAAAAGCAATCAATCGTCATACAGACAGTAACAAGTGGTGTTGCCTTACCCAGAAGAGCATCAAAGAGTTGTAAAAGTGACGTTGTTTTCTATTTCTAGGTTTTCAAGGGGCCCTTTCTCATGTGCCAGAGACGACATGAATCACTATCTCAGATGGACTGTTTTCCTGTGGATCGTAAATTCCATTCCTTTTACTTCAGGAATGGCAGTCAATGAGAGAATAGGTGCGTATGCTGTCACTATTCTTTTCTGTTTACAAAAGGTTTAATTAGAGGAGATTATGTCTGTTTTGGTTTTCCAAGCCTTGTTCGTCTCGGCACGAGAGGTCAATGTTGAATTCACCGCTCGGGGTGCAGAGCGCCCCTGTCATCGACTTTAATTAGCGCTCTGTTTCGGCTTTCTTGTTTGGAATCCTTGTATGCAAATGAATTGTTTGTGATGAAAGGCGTCTCGCCCTTCTTTAAGAAGCAGGGACTCTGGCACAGCTATTTGAAATTCCTTCTGGCGAGGACATGGCGTCAAGCCCTTGACCTGGGTGGCATTAGTCATAAGGCACCCGGACACATCCGCCGTGGTGTTATGTGTCCCATAGAATTGCTTTATCAGCCCCATTCAGATTAACCTGGGCCGATTTAAGGAATATTATTGCACAGTGTAAATGCCCACGAACGAGAGTCCCCTGAACAAGAGGACAGGCAAGCAATATTTTTGCCAGCTGAGTGGATTGCTATCTCCCGTGATCCACTGTGCGAGCGTGACATCCAGGAAGAGATTTAGAGAGGATTTACAGCATGTGCTCCTACTTCTTAAGAGTCGGCCGTTTGCCAGCAGATGTGCTGATTTTTTGGAATTTCCTGTTAATGCTGTGTTTTGTGGGTGTGCGCCTGTGGATGTAGATATGTTTGTGTGTCATTCTCTCTATTTGGTGTAATTGTTCTTGATGAAGAAGAATTCGTCCTTCAGCAATCAATGTCAGGCTGCCAATGTCATTGGTGGGTTGACTGGACTAGGGGTCATTGGGGTCTCAGTAACTAGGCTACTACTTCAGTAACTACTAAATTATTAAATCAGCTATATAACAAAAGGTGGATTTTTTTTTTAGAAACACATCATTACATATAATAGAGTATGGCATTGGTTAATCCATCATGTTCTCACAGACAATATTGACAAAGGTGGATTTCTGAAATTGAATTGTGTTCTAAGGATCAGGGTGGTTTAAGCAGGTTGGGGCAAGTTGTCATTTACAATATCTGTCAACCAAAGCAATGGTTTGGTGGTTTTGGATGTTACATTTTTATATGTTTGCTTTTTCAGAGTTGTTTTACTGGTTCAGCTTCAATCAAAAGACTGTAATAGAATAAACAAGTGGGGTTTCAGAAAATAAAGATAAAAATCATATTTATTTTCTCCATTGGGGAATTGATTTTTAACTTATAAACTGTTGAATACAGACCGACTGTGAGCTACTGATGTATGCTTTTGTCTGAAGCCATAAGCTCATGTTATTTAAAATAATCAGCATAATTATTGATGAAAACCTACATTTTACGGTTAATTCTGATCAAATTCCACCGGGAAATCACTCCAAAATAAGTGCCTGCACATGAAGCTCTGCAAATTATTTTAATATTCAGTCTCCTAATGCTCTCGAACTGCTTAAATATGTTTATATAAATATGCATATTTTCCAATAAATGTGAAATATATTGTTTCAACATCTTCAAATCAATAGTTTTATATTTATCCATCATTTTTCATTTTGATTGTCATTTGCAATGCTTCATGGTATTGTATTCTTTTCTTTTTTAAAGCAACCCCTTGTCTGATTTTCAAATACAAAAGATGATTTACAGTTTTTTAGTGTAAATCAGCATTTCCTGTGTAAGAATTTTTGGAATGGCTTTTTTTGTAGCCAATACTTTAGGTATGTCATACAAATATACATACACATATATATTTATATATATATGAAGAGTTCAGATGCAAAACCCTTTAAGTGCCATTTGAAATTTTCTTCTAGAATGATAATTTTTATCAAGCTTGTATATTTAAGTTCAGTGATTTCACTTAAATGGCAATGATAATTACCTATTAATTGTTATTTAAGTGAAATTACTGAACTTAAATATACAAGTTTGATAAATCATCATTAAAAAAGAAAATTTCAAATGGCATTTAGAAGCTTTTGCATCTGAACTCTTCATATATATATATACTGTGTATATATATATATATATATATATATATATATAAATCTACCCTGAGGAATATTATCTGTAGTAAAATGTGACAACTGTAAACAAGCTGAAACCCTTAATAGTACAATTGCTTCATTAATGTATAATATTCCTCTCTTCTGCAGATCATACATGTCCATCCTTAAAGCTGGAGGAGATATGGCATACCAATGTGAACATTCACAGAGAATTCACAGGTACAAACAAAGATACACTGTATATACAAACAGAAATCAAGCACAGCTCATCCATATGCAGTGCTGTTAAATATCAAACTGCAGACTGTTTAAACCATCCTCAATGTTGTACATGGAAACACCAGTTCTTGCAAGCCAGCTAATGAATTCTGTTGTAGGTAAGCTTAGTTTTTTAAATCGGCCTTATCAACGGCTGTTTCTATGGGCCACTATACATAAGCCGTCCGCCATCTTGAAAAGGTCAAAGCCGGTATGTAAACATTCGAGGGCAAGTTGACTGTCTGTCTGCTACCATAGTTAGAACCATGTATGATTTTGCTAAACTAACACAATACAACGAGACAAAGGCGTCAGCTAACACGACATTAAAAACTGACCATAGTAAAAGTAAAAACATTAAAGGAGCTGTATGTAAGATTGTGGCCAAAACTGGTACAGCAATCAGTTTCAAATTACTGTAGAGTGGTGTATCCCCTCCCCCCTGACTCGAGGTTGCCAGATAGGCTGCTGGATCCAACATTTTATTTTATACGTTTATATCCGGCAGCTGTGGTAACTAGAGCAGAGCTGGCAACCCGGATGCTGCAACACTACTGACTTCGTGATTGGTAGATCGGTGGAGGGCGGAGCATCAGACCAAAACACAACATGACAGTTGAGGGCTGCAACTTCACTTTTAAAATGACAATATCCTGGCCAGACTACTGTTGTCAATGATATAAGTATTTGAAATGAACTTGATTTCTTAATGTCTAGTGACATATCAGGGCCATTTTATGATTATTTGAAATAAATTTCTTAAATACAGCTCCTTTAAGTGACATAGTAAAAAGTTCTAATAGACATAAAAACACATTCTCACCTGTGAAAAGTTATCCCATTTCTTCAGGAATTTAAATCTAGGCGGTTTCACAACCAGAAGCTACGTAATATTGCGGCATCATTGATTTTTACTGTGAGTGATTCCAAGATGGTGGCCGTGCAGAAGTGTCTGGAGTGGTCGGATGTGAAATTTACCTATACATATGTATTTTACAATGTAATATGTATGTGTAATGAGCCATTACTCTCATCTTCAGTGTCTCAAGAATCAAACTTATGCTGATTTGGTGTTAAATAAAAACACAAGTTAAAAACAGTGCTGCTTTATTTGAAGTTGAAATTTTGGATCAATTTAATGCTAAATTATTAAAATTTATTCAAAAAAAAAAATCGTAAGTTTTATACTATTAACGGTATTGTTAATGGTTCAGTATAGCATGGATAGCAAAACAATCACTATTTATTATACAAATGAATGCAAGAACATTATCCAATCACGATTTGGTATGCAAATATCACAATACAATGGATTGTGTGTTAGATTTGCTATTCTGTCAGACTTTAGATTAAAGTGTATCAAAACAATGTGTCTAAAGGCTGCAATCATCTACAAAATAAAGTCTAGAAGTTTAATACTTAGAGGTTTATGACAGGCCACAAAACCAGAATTTTTGATGAATAACAATACAGTGATGCCTTGCTAACACTAATCATTCCCCATGACACACTACAAACGCGTGTTCAGCAGTTTGTATGGGACGACATTTAGTAAAAATCTCTTTAGCCCGAAGCTAACGTTTGTCCTTTAGCAGAACATTGTGCTAACAGCGCTAAGGTCATGTTTTCAATTCCCCAAATGTTTACACTCAAATGCTTTGTGCTGGCAAATGCATAAATGTAATGTATGTTTTTCTTTTTCTCCTATTGTTTACAGGATTCGATTTAGCTGAGAAGTTCCTTCTGAGAAAAGGCATGGTGACGGACGACAGGCTATTGTTTAGACTGGGGAGCAAACCCCTGTTTAAACCAACAGAGTAAGTTCTGCGAATATTGATGAGGTTTTGATATTGTGCCTTTTACTTTTCCACTCGCACATCAGTCAGATGGTCGTTTTGTCGGAAAACAACGTAGATCTACCGTTAGATGGCTAAGCTGGAAGTTATTGCAGTAAATGTGCATATCCATATGTTTACATAGTTTGGATGTGATCGATGATGTGCAGAATCTTCTCGCATCTGGAGAGCAGAACGTAGGACAGTTCCTCGCAGAATCAGTGGTGTGATGAGCATGTTATGAAGGGAGTTTGAATTAATGCCCACATCCACATGTTGCGTGTTTTGGACAGCTTCTCATATAAATCTCCATGAGGCCAGTACGGGACAGAGCGCTGCTTGACTAGCTGAACAAACTGCATTCTCAAAGCGGTTCGCACGAGCTTCTGCCTCTCAGGTTTTGATAATATGCCAGGCCGTTATTGGGCTCCTGCAGAGCAAACCGATATTTTCTCATGGTGTAAGCTTGCTTTCACTTCAGATGATATCCGGTAGAAAGACTATGTAGATGTCGCGGATGCTTTTAATGGTGTGTTGACTTGGAATGACCCAGATATCACAAGCTCGCTGAGATAATTCCCCTCACATTGGCTAATAAGAATAAACTGTGAGGTGGGCCGTGAGACATGTTGAATAATTTGGACAGAATTAATTTGCAGACCGTGGGCAGTGGGCTCGACCAAGGAGAAAGAGAGGTGACTGTAATGGACTGCCGCCTAGAAGAGAAATCAAGCTGTAATGGGGAATCATGTCCTGTATATTAATTGCCTAAGGCTTACAATGACTCTAATAACTTACAGCTCAAGGGTGACACACCAAGTTCAAGGAAGGTGTCTAAGTTAGTTAGAAATTGCAGGTATGTTTAATCTACTTATAGCCTTGGATATCTATACATGTCATGTACGCCGTGTTCCGGCAAAATCAAGTTGTCCAGACCACAAGAACCCACAGTATATTCATGAATCCAAAGCTCCAAATTGATGCTCAAAAGAACTCCTTTGTATTCTGGTGAAAAAACGGTGGGATCGGCGCGCTCCAGACGAAGTCAGATATGGGGGAAGACTGAGGTTAAAATTCGCCACTTCCGACTTCAAAGCGTTCCAGGCGGTCGTACGTCATGGTCAAACATGAGTAATTATGACACAAACATAAAAGTGTAGTGTTTGCACTAAAAACATCTGACAAAAAGTGAAAACAATGTTTCTAGCAATGCCTAGTCTTGGGTTTAATTCCCAGTGAATGCATGAACTGATCAAATACAACTTGAATGCAGTGTAAATCGCTTTGGATAAAAGCATTTGCCAAATGCATACATGTAAGAAATAGGCTATATTTGTAGTTTTGGTTTCCTTGTGATGCTGAGCATTTCGTTTTGTTTTTTGACTTACAATTTGTAATATTTTTGGGATGAGGGATGAGTGAAATTACAATATGAATATAAACTAGAAAATATTATTAAAGTCCCCCTGTAGTTAATAATTTTATCAATTAAAGGGGTGATGAACTGAGAAATCAAATTTTCCTTGAGCTTTTGACATTTAAGAGGTCATCATATTATAAGAATATCCTGTAAGTTTCAGAACTGAAAACATCCCTTTTAGTCCAATAAAAGCTTTTATTGACACCAGCCTCAGCAAACGACTCGTTTTTCAAAGTGGGGAACTATAATGACGTCAAAGAGGATGAAACAGAAGAAGATCAACGCCTACTTCAATACGGCCGGTTTAGCCCCGCCCACTGATTCGCGCATTACGCACATAGCTAAATAACATTGGCCTGCCGAGAGCCTGCCTACCTCGTGATGACAAACCAGATCGAGAATGAAACTCATCATAATATGCAAAACTGTTATCCACTCACAGCAGTGGGCGTTTACTTCCAAGTCTTCAATGCGAGACGGCCATAAAAACCGAGCGTTTTTGAGCTGGGCTCAAAACTAGGGTAGAAAATAGCCTATTACTTATTCATTTTGATGTTTTTGAATGTAAAAACCAAGCGAACGTCATAAGTTGACCTCAGACAACAATATAAAAAAAGCCAGTTCATGACCCATTTAAAACACATATTTGATCGGCAAAATAACATATTTAAATGTTTTTTTTTCCTTGATTGCATTAAAATAGCTTGACTGTAACTCATTTACACGCGATTCTATGTTTATGGAAATTAGCCCCGTCTCCTCTCAGAGATCCACTTGTTGACGATCACACGTTGAAGTAATTGGTTACAAGGTAGTTTGACATCAAAAACTCCAGCAATTTCAAACTGCATTTTATTAGACTGTCTTCGCTTCACTGCAGTTTTAAGCAGAAAATACTCTAAGTTGACTGATGAATTTATACATGGTTTGTCTTAAACCATATTAAAAACACCATATAAACAACATTAAAAGCTTGATTTTCACCACAGGGTGAGTTTAAATATTTTCGTGATTCACGTGATTCATTTTCGTGATTCATTTCGTGACTTGAGTAGTATGTGGGATTTGTTTTTTTCTAGTTTATAACTTTTTTCTTAACATTAATATGAAATAGTAATATAACAGTAATAGTTTACCTCAATGATTGTTACCACAATCTTAGAAATTTTTATCTTCTGTGTCAAGGTTGATCCAGTGGTAATTTTCAACTAGGAAGATTCTGATTTTTTCTGGATCTTTTACTGCACAGTGGACAAACCTATTGGCATTTATTTAAGAAAGATAGCATAGCTTCACAAGCAAAATATAACTATTGGAAGCTGTTGTTAAATTTGCTGCAAATAATTTCAACCATGATGAATAGTGAACAGTATTACAGTTTATTGAACATCAGTATAGTACACTACTGTGTTTGTGTGTTTTTGAAAGAAATCTATTTTGCTCCCCAAGGCTACATTTATTTGGTAAAAAAATACTGTAAAAACTGTAATTTTGTTGTGAAATATTGCTGAATTACCAATCTTCAGTGTCACATGATCCTTCACAAATCATTCTAATATGCTGATTTGGTGCTCAAGAAATATTTCTTTATTATTATCAATGTTGAAAACCGTTGTGCTGCTTTATAATTTTTTTGTGGAAACGTTTTTTTTTTCTTCTCGATTCTTTGAACACGAAGCTTTGAATTCTTTGAATCTTTTGTAACATTATACATGTCTTTACTGTCACTTTTGACATTTAACATTTAATCAACATGTCCTTGATGAATACAAATATGAATCCCTCCTTTTAACTGTATCTATTTTTGTTTAGGTTGTCACATTTTTTATTGTGATAAAACCTCTATACCACACAGCCTTTCCTTACTTATTGCTTTAGGATACTGTTCAAGATTAAGACAAAGCATTTGAACACTTCCAGTATGTTCATAGTTAACGTGATGGGCTACATCTGTGTGAACTTAAGGACAACTGACCACATAAATCCATTAAAAATGTCCCTGGGACCAGCTAATTAAATGTAATTGCTAGAAGAGGTTCTGAGAAAAGGTCTAGCATAATTTGTTCTAGCATAATTTGCAAATACCTCTTAGTTTGATCATTTATATAAAGCAATATACAATTAATACATTACCTGTCCGAAAGTGTACGATTTTGGGGTCCCTTTATCCTAGTATGGAAACACATGGTGCTTTGCGCACATTGTTTAGCATTTGTAGGTCATTTGTTCATTTGCGTTTCATCACGTCTTATTCTCTGTGGTTTCAAGCACACCTGCTGGGTTGGCCATAGAGGTTCAGCAACCCAGTGGATGTCTCTTGTACCTCCACACGTTTCACCAGTGAAAAATAACACAGTCATCTGCACAGGGAAAGGGAGGATATTTTTAGCGTTTTTTTTAAACAACTGTTAACGCACTGTTTGCTCCCCGGGACCCTGAGGGGGGTGTGGGTCAAATGATTTGCGATCTGTTGCTCTATCTAACGCTTGGTGGTCAGCGGCCTGCTGTGGGCCTTTCTCTCTGCTGCTCAGACCGGCCTTCAGGGAACAACTGCGAGTCTCCCAGGCTGGAGGTGGAGTGCGCTTTTGGGGGACGAGAATGCCAAGTTGTCTACCAGGACCCCCGTACAGACACATACACACACCCTGCCAGACCTCAATTAAGCTGATCTCTGACAGGTGATGGTGTTAGTCAGCTGGATGTGTCGAAGGGGCGCAGAAGAGGGGTCAAAGAGTCCCCAGCACAAACTCCAAACGTCTCTCACTTTACTTGCAGGAAATGATACAGTCACATGGATAGAGAAGGCTCCACTCCCCCAGACAATTTTCCATTAGTTGTTTCACAGATGATTCTGCTAAGATGTGTTAATTGCGTGTTTGGTATTCATTTTTATGAGAGGAAAGGAGCGTGGGAACGATCTGAAAAGTGTTGGGTGGAGCACAATATAAAGCTTATGAGCTTAGCTCATGAATATTTATTGCATGACGTGATGTTCGCCCCAGTAGTCCTAACTGAGTGGTTGATAAAAGGCATTACCTACTATTAGAGTAGGCATTCCACACATTTATTCAGCTTCTGAACAACTTTTCTTAAAGGTGCTGTTTCTATGGGCTGACTAATTTCTTTCTTTCCTTTTTTGTGACCAAAATGAAACTCTTAAAGGTGAAGTCTGTAACTGATATGTCACTATCGGCACAAAACCACCAAACACAATTGCAATTTATTTATTTGAATGGTCAAAATGAAACAAAATCTTGACTCAAATAATTGTATAGGTTTGGGGTAGCATTGACAATGGAAGACTTGTAGAATGTTTTATTATTATTAAAGAGCCCCTATCATAGCATTTGAAATGTTCCTATTTTTGTTTTAGGAGTTCCCAAAAACAGTTTAACATGCATGCAAGGATAAAAAAACACTTTATTTGTCTTATAATATGCATTTATTTTTAACGGATTTGCTCACCGACTCCCAAATGATTCGTACAACGACTCATTTTTCCAAACCACTCCTTTGCGTGACGCTAATCGGCGGTGATTGGTCAGATGACAGACCCAGTCAG